GGAGCCTGAAGGGGGGCTCAAGCCCTGGACCCTGGGATCATGGCCTGAGCCAAAGGCAGCTGCTTAATGACAGAGCCACCCAGATGTCCCAATCCTAGTCTCTTCATTGCCAATAGCCAATACTTAAGTCAACCTGAAATTTGGTTTTCTTGTCTCTAAAATTAAAGGAAAACTTACAGTTGATCCTTCAACAACACAAGGGCTGGGGTGCTGACAACCCCCTCCCCATGGTCAAAAACCCACATAGAACTATATCCACATCCACTAAATCCACTAAATACACATATAACTCCCCCCAAAACTTTAATAGCTTACTGTTGACCAAAAGCCTTAATGATAATAAAGTCAATTAATACATATTTTATATACTGTATACTGTATTCTTATAATAAACTAAGCTAGAGAAAAGAAAATGTTAAGAAAATCATAAAAGAGAACACACTTAAAGTTTCATACCATAAAAAATCCGCGTATAAGTGGACCCATGCAGTTCAAACCTGTGTTTGTTCAAGGGTCAGCTGTATACTTTCAGGACTTCTCTTACCTTGAAGATTCTACTTCAATGTGTACAACTCTAGCTTTGATATGCCAACAGCTAGTCATTAAACCAGGGTCATTTTCTCCTGAACAGCACCAGGGATTTTAGAAACCAGAGAGAAACTAATACATGCTTCTGCTCATGAGAAAAGGACAGGTTTGGATATTTGTAGATCTAACAACTTGGAGCCACAGAACTCTCTTTCAGCAGGCCACCACCTGCTTGGCCAGCATGCACTTCTCTTGGTCCCTTTTGGGCCTTTGGTGGGGTTTAGGTCAGAGCCCCAGGACAGAGGCATCGTGCCACTTGCTGGGTTCTGTTCTTGGTCTTGAGCTCTACCAGCTATGTGAACTTAGGCAAGTTACTTAACCTTGTCTCTAAACCTGTTTCATCTGCCAACTGGGGATGATAATAAAAGCACCAAGACTTGTTGGGGAATAAGAATTAAATGTGATAAGCCTATAAGGCACATTGGTGCTGGCAGACTAAGCACTCGGTACATGGAGCAATGAGTTTTGATTACAGATGCATGGTTATAGCAGCCATAGAACTCAGCATGAACCTGGAGAAAGTCCATGAAGTCACGATGCTGCCACAGCTGCCAGTCCTCTCCTCTTCCAGACTTATTCTTACTAATGCAACCTCACTTATTGACTTGAAGGAATGAATGAACATGCGGACTCCCTATATCTCTTTCCAGAAAGTCCAGATCACACAGCTCTGAAGATGGGACAGTAATGAAAGGAAGCATGTGACATGATCAATGCATTAAAGGGATCTTCTGCATGAAAAAGAAACTGGTAGTCGTGGCTGCCCTCCCAGGAGGTAGCTTCAAGTCAGGGACAGGAAACTGACTTTTCACTATATGCCTTTGTATCTTCTGAATTTCGAACCTCAAATATGTGTTACCTATATTAAAAAATATTTTTAACATGTCAATTTTTGAAAATTAAGAAGACACCTTGTAACTTAAAATCAAGTTTACACCTTCCCCTCATGAGAGCTGGGGAACTGAAAGCCCAGCCTCACTCGCCCTTCAAAGCATCTGAGTGCCAGTCACTGCTGTCTTGCCCACGCATGCCCCGAACTGGAGAGGTATGTGCAGAAGCCATGGGAGCTGGAAGAGAGGGAAGGTTCAGCATTATTTCACGTTTTTGACTGGTTTCTGCACAAAGGAACCAAAGGAATTTCTACTGTAGATTTAGAGCAGGCCTTTTGCTGTGATTCTGTTCTCCTGCCCCAGGAAGGCAAAGACCAGAATTAAAAGAAAGAACAGAGAGCAAAGAAAGTGCGCGCGCGCGCTCGTGTGTGTGTGTGTGTGTGTGTGTGTGTGTGTGTGTGTGTGTGTGTGTAGTCCAAAAAACCCATGCTGGCTCAGCTTTTCCACATTGTTTTCCCAAATATTTTTCTAATAAATAAATCTGAAAAAACAGCATACTTTTGAAAATTAAGACTGGCTTGGAAATAACTAAGGGTTGCATTTTATTTAAGCAAGTACAACAAAGGTATAGTAAGGTTAATTTTCCCTTTTACTCATCATTTCCCATCCCTGATGGAATTATGTGTGAATGTGTAAAGAGGATGGACCTGAAAAGAATTTTTCTTTTTTTTTAAGATTTTATTTATCTACGTGAGACAGAGCTAGAGCATGAACAGCGGAAGGGACAGAGGGAGAGGGAGTAGCAGACTGCCGTCTGAGCAGGAAGCCTGCTGGGGGCGGGGGTTGGGGGTGCGGGGGGGGGGGGCTGATCCTTGGACTCCGAGATCATGACCTGAGCTGAAGACACCCAGGCGCCCCCCTGAAAAGAAATATCTTAAAGTTCTTTATAAAAGTAAGGTATCACATAGTAGCACATGACAAAATGCATCTTTGAAGAACAAACAACACTGTGTTAAAAACGCTTTGTGCTAAAAATATACTTGGAATTCTAAAATGTATAAATGTGAAGTGTAGCTATGATAAGATGGATGTATATAGAAATAAGCTGTACAAAGGCAGAAATACTGAAATATGCCATGCTCGAGTAGGTCCAAATCAGGCCTGTGACTTTAGGATGACCCCAGAAGAGATGAGCCACATTTAAGTTCCTGAAGCCCGTGGCACAGGCGATAGAACAGAACAAAGTAGCGCATCACCGCGAAGCCAGTTGGCAGCCGCTTGGCTTGTCCCACACAGGGCCGAACTGCTTCATTATTTTTGGTTCTAGACTAGAAAAACAGTGTGTTGGTTTCACAAGTCCTCATTTAAAAAAAAAAAAAAAAGTGTAGTTTAGGCACTCGGGAAACACTATTAGAAGGCATTGGAAGACACTGACGAGAACTGAGAAGTGTAGCTGCTGACGCGAAACGCTGTGCTTCCGGCAGGCCTGGCGCTCACGCACGTTTGAACACATGGCAGGAGTCGCTCTGCTTCATTTTCCCTATCAGATGACTGAGCATCGGAAGCCCTAGTCACAGCTGACAAGGGGGTGTAATCCCACGATTCAGGGCCGGTGGTTTCTACATCCGCTAAGTCCAGATTCTGGAGATTTTAGGAGAAACGAGCGCGCACGCAGGCACGGCCCGGGACTCTGCACGACACTGTCCTGCAGGACGGACCACGTGCGTGGCGGCCCGCTCATACCGGCTGCAGCCGTACAGTGTAAAGCTGAGTGGAGAGCTGGCGAACCGTGCTACTTTTAGCAGCGAAAGTTTGGGTTTCAGGGACACAGTGAAGGAGCAAGAATCCAGAGTTCCCACGCGCCTCGGGGAGCGGAGAGCGTGAGCCCCCCTTACCCCACCCCAAGCTCTCCCTCACGCCCTGCAAAGCCCAGGCGCGCATCAGCCATCCGGCGCCCGCCGTCTGCCGCCGGTACACCCTGTCTGATCCCACACTGATGCCATATGTTTCACACAAGCCTGAACCCCTCTCAGCCCCGGGCGGGGGGTGGGGTGGGGCAGAATCTTCACTAGGAACCCGGAGCAAAACGCGCAGCCAGAATCTGGTCGTCATGCCACTGTGAAGTCACTAAATGAAGCGACCCTGGGATGCCCTATGTCTGGGCTTCTTGTTTTGTGAGGGAACGAAATCTCCTTACTGTTTAAACCACTAGGGAGTGGGGAGACATCTGCGTTTTGTGACCCCAAGTAATGAGATGCAATCCTGTTCCTCCAAAATAACCTATTTTCTAGAGCAGTGCACACACACGAACGGATGCACACTCCCTCTTATAAACTAAACTCTGGTGTAAATACTAACATTCTCCTAAATTCATCTCCTGAAGTCAAGCTCCTCAGAGAACAGTGATTGCTCTTATTCCCTGTCCAGAATACCCTCCTCCCCAGCACTATCCGTTACTTCAAGGCCCAGTTCAAAATCTGCCTCCTCCATGAACAGTTTCTTATTTAATCCCTGCCTACATCTGTCTCTAATTCCAACATATGGCATTTACTGTCTCTAACTTTTTTACAGCTTGCCTGCTGATCCTTGTGTCTCCCTCTCAATGTCTACCACACTAAGCACACATTTGATTTACAGTGACTGAGTATAAAGCACCATCTTCCTTCACCTGAAACATGGGATTTTCCTTTCCTCTTTTCTTCCTTGTCTTCTTTCCTCATCTTACTTCTCTGTAGAAGAAAAGACAAAAATTTAGGTAAAAGAAATTCAGAGCTCAGACCCTGAAGGAAGGTAAGTCTTTCTAAAGAAAGCCGAAAATGGCATGGCCTACCTTCTGGGAGTTACAGATAAGGGAAAGAATTATGACATGGGGGAACAGCAGTTAGACACCACACCAATGACCTTCTGTTTTTGTACCTCCCTAACACTCTGACCAGGTCTCACTACTGAAAGTAGGGGAGGGAGCATCCTTAACAAATCAGAAGGTACAAGAGAAGATGCAGCAGAGTCCAGCTCATGGTAGGCGTTCAACAAATGTCTCAGGAGTGCATGAGAGAGGACAGATCATCTTATGACTAGAGTTTCAGACTTATACCTTAAAGCTTTTTATTATAAAAACAGAATGAAGTGTAAATACCACTAAGAACACTGCCATCTCAATGTAATGGACTTCATGTGAATGTGTTGACATAAAAATCTTTAATCTGATATAGACTTCAAGCTGTTTTGAAATGGAAAATAAAATCTTGGGTTGTTTTTGTTTTTACTTTAAAACTATTATGGCCGTTAGCTAAAACTCAAAGTAAGGGCCTATCTGCAGAAAGGCTTTGTCCATCATCACATGACCTGAGTCTCTGTAGCTGCTCTTCTATGAAACAGCTCTGGGGCCATCCTTCCCACAAGATGGCAGAAAGAGCATCTGCAGAGAACAAAACCTGGTGTAGAAATTGGCTTGCGTATCCTTGAGGGTTTGCAAATACAATATTAACTTTTACTTTTAACACATTCCAGATATATTAAAAATTTGTTGTAACTTTCATGAGGTTCATTCATTCAAACAGACACTAAGAACTTCTGCAAGATCTTTTATATTACACAATAGAGTAAAAACTGTAGTAAAAGTTCAGATAGTTAAATGAGCACCAAACACTACAAAGTGTAACCAACATGGTTCTATTAAAAACGCTCTTCAACTATGCCATTCAAGGACAGCAATACAATACTTTCTTTACAAAGCAACTAATATAAAAATCTGCAAATGCCATAAATTCATTTATAGGCTCTTATTTTCATATAAGCATGTCATTAGATTCTTTTGATTCTTTCTTTCCTTCAATTCTTTCCTGAGGTATTTTTTTGTGTTTGCTTTTATTGTACTGCTGGATGCATTATCTTTGATCATCCTTTCCTAAAATGATTTTTAAAGACCTGCAAAAAATTTTATTGCATAGGACACTATTCATGACAGAGGTTGGGAACTGCAAATATGTGGCATTGGAGTAAGTCTTACAAATATTGCATTTTAAGAATCTGTTACATACTTTTTTTTTTTTTTACAGCTTGTCTCTTTAAAAAAAAAAATTGAAGTTACAGCTAAGAGTTAACTACGTACAGTGAAGCATTTTAGGAATGTCAGAGGTTAGAGAATACAATGAATGATACAAAGGAAAAAAGCCATAATTCTTGCTGGCTATATATTGTATTGCCTTCAAAAGCAACTGTACATGTTGTAATCAGTTCATAGTTAAATATTTCTACTAATCTGTTTTAGGAGAGCAAATGTCTTTCAAAGTTTCAAGTTCCTCTATGAGCTTCTTGTTCTGAACTTCCAGCACTGCAACTCGACTCTCCAGACATTTTACATATTCTTTCTTTCGACGTCGACATTCTTTAGCAGCTTCCCTGAAAAAAAGTAGAAGCAAAAGGGCAAACAAAACATTTTTTTTTTGCATGCTATGGACAAGCAGACTGAAGTAAGCTTGGTAAATGTGATCATGGCTACATTCCAAATCTTGGAACAGGGTTCCCAATTCAATGTCAAACACTAAGCCAAACTGGATTTTTAAGGGTCACAAGTGTCCCTTCCACAAGTCCACATGGCAATTAGTAGAATTGCTGCATCTCCTGCCTTGATTAGAGTTCATAATAAACAAGGTCCAAGTCAAAGACAGTTACTCTGCTTTATGGCAATAAAGATCTTTGAGGGCCTTGAGTTCCTCAATGAGAGTCTTGTTTTGGTTTTCAAGCACAGCCACACGATTTTCAAGACATTTGACATATTCTTTCTTCTTCCTGCGACACTCCCGGGCAGCTTCCCTGGAACCAACACAAAGCAAATGACTACAGGAACAACCTCCCAGCACGATCCAGACTGGTTCAAATGAACTTCTGTCCCCCAAACTCAAAGACCAATCAATCCTAGGCAAGGTTTGTACAAAGCCACACAACGAATGTAACCAAGCACATGCCTTTTGTAAGAATACTTTCAAACAACAGGAATGACTTGAGAGCACGATCAATGTGTCCATCATTCATTGTAAATGCTGTTTTCTTAGGGCACACATTCTGTGATAACAGTGACCAGAATGATTTTCAGTAACCTAAAACAATAGGACCACATCCCCAAGTGGAATTTCTACAAAAACATTTACAGATCTTTTCAATTCTCTTGAGTATTTTTGTCCACCAAAAGCCACATATTCCATCACAATGAGTTAACTTTATTTTGGTCAGAAATATTGGAAAAATTAATCCTCAGAAATTTGAAATGTCAATATTGGAGATTTTGTTTCTTCAAGACTGAATCTCATCGGTAAAACAAATAAGCTTGACCATGACTGCAAGAAGCAGTTTATTGGCTAGAAAACAACATGGATAAAGACAACGGTAAGCAAGTCACATACATTTTCATAAACCATAATGAAATGGACTCCGCTTCTGAAAATTAAGGAAGGGAAGAAGGGATAGCACAGAATCCAGCACTCAATAATTCAGACACTTTAAATCCACGAAGTGACAGCACCAATATTAAAACCTCGGAAAGGAAGCTACTATAACCCAAAACTCTATGTCAAGACTGTTTTTGAATCACATGCATTTACTACCCAATCTATGGATCTTTAAAGCGCTGTAGGCATGCCCAAAAGAAGGAACAGACCAGCCAAAGCAACAAACACAAATACACAGATGAGTTAGTCATTCTCATGCATAACCCCACCAAAAAATAATAAATAGAGCCAACATTTTTCTCTTTTTCCTTTTTGTCAGGGTGGGAAGGGGTGGCAACTATATCCTTTAACTCCTCTGTAGAATATACCCTCTGGTAACAGTGTTCTTTTGAAGGAGTCAACTGAAAATAACTGCTTTGGGGTACACTTCAGATCAAAAAAGCCTATGTTGAAAGAGATAACTCAAACATATATTAACAGGAGTTGTGTTGGATGTCTAAACACCAGTTACTATAATTCTAGCTAGCACTGCTGCAATTCTGAACCAGGAGTGATGTGTACAACAGATTTGGCCAATTCTGTTTTATTTTTAGGATAGTTGACTCACTAACAACTGGTTATCTGTTTTTTCTCCGTGGGGCCAAGTGTCAGCAGAAAAAAGACCTTGAAATCCCAGTGAGCTGCAGGAAAAAAACCAACCCCAACTTCCTAGCCAAGAGCAATGCACTCACCCTGTGAACTCACCAAGTTCTCAGGCTTCTCAACTAGTTAACGAGAAAATTTTAAAAATGTAAGAAGTAAACTGAATCTGACAAATACAGATTGATTTAATCTCAATGATGCATAGGGAAAAACTGAGAACAAATCCAACCACACATAAAATTTGCAACTCTGCTTTCCACAAAGGAACTAAAATACATTTATGAATACCAACGTTTTCATGGATTGAATCATTATATTAAATTCTAGATCTGGAAGGAAGATAATCACTCTACAAAACATGTTATCATTAAATGAAATTTTACATATAGCAGTGCTTGATATTTTTTAATTTCTTTACCAAGGTGTACTATCTATTGTAAATATAATTCATATCTTATGTGGGAACGGTGCAGGTTACCAGTCAAAATGTTCCAAGCACCAAGCTTTAAATGATCGCACCAGTAGATGGTACATTCCCAAGTACTTCCCAGCTATGGAAAACACCTGTTTCTTCTATTAATAGCTAGCTCAGTTTTTAGGCCTTGCGTTTGTCTGGATATATCCTCAGCATGGAGAGGAAGTACATGGCAAAGAGGAAATGCTGACAAGGCTGTAAAGAAATATAAACTGTGGCTGGACTGGGAGAAATATCTATGAGATCTGTCATAAATGCCAGCCAAAGAATAAAAAGAGAATGCATGAGAGGTCTTTCACGTTAATAAGTAAAACCTACATACTCTCCATGAAGTGAAATCTGCAGCTTACTCTGAGGTCTCTTTGAGGTGACTCTGGAGTAGTGCAGCGGGCAGGCTCTGGAAGAAAGACTGCCTGATTGCACATCCAGGTTCTGTCCAGTGTGGGCTGCATGATCTTAACCAGTTCACTATTTAACCACTCTGAGCCTCAGTCCCTCATCTGGAAAGTAAGGATAATAACCAGACCTGGTTTCATGTGCAAGTTATGTGAGAGTTAAAGAAATGGTAGAAACAAAGCACTTACAACCTGCAAATGGTACTTGCTCTGCTGAGCCTCCTGTTAGCCATTTATCATCGGCTCTTCCCTTGTCCTGCACTTAGACTGAGATCTGGAAAGCTAAGATAGACCCTTCGCAGAATTCCTTGCAGCTAGGGATTCTATTAGCTATTTCTATTTCTAGAAAATGCGGGTGAAAGATGCTGTAAGGACCTCCCAGAAGTTTTCAGAAGATCCAGAAGCTCTGGACCTTCTCCCTTCTTCCTGCCTGTTGTGATCCTAAGAATAAATGTCACCTGCTGAAGCTGACAAGGCAGGGAGGAGAAGCCTAGATCCTTGATGACACTGCTGAGCCTTTGTTCTGGCTGCACATACCTCTGGGCCAGTCACATAAGATCAAAATAACACCTGTGAGGTGAAGGCTCCATTTCCCTGTGTTATTTACAGCTCAAACACAAACACTACCCAATAGCTGTTATTAGCGAATTATTTTTTTAAAATGTAAAATTTCATGACTGTTTTCCTCAGGGAAATTTCTTATTTATGTGTAGGTAGCTGTGGGGCACTTTTAGAGGAACCCACTTGCCCAGTATTTCACTATTTCATTGATAGTTCCACTGACATTTTTTTTTTTAAATCTAAAAAACAAAAGGGAAATAAGAATGCTACTTTCTAGGTCTTTTTATTTTCTTTAGGAAAATAAGACATCAATGAACAATTTTACAGTTTGCATTATTACTATACTTTATACTATTAAACTGAATTCTGTGACCATAGAAGCAAATGTTTTCATAGCTCCCTAAGATCTCAGAAAGGACAGTTTTAAAATATCCATATTCCTCCACCAGATCTAAGTTAGAGATCTTTGATAGCAAGACTTCCATAGAACAACTATGTGTGATACTTCATTCAGCCCCTTCAGGATTTCTGAATAAAATGCTGACAATGAAAAATAGGAACCCAGCATGACTTAGTCAATCTGGAACAATCACTGATAAAGATGTGCGTGTCTTAAATGATCTTAGTTTGGGTAATCTGTTATATTTTCTAGGGTACAAAACTCCATCTAGTGATCTGTGATAACTATGATGTTTGGGAACTAAAGCCAACTTAAGGAGTCCTGTATTGTATAAAAATGTGACCTTTATTTACTTAATATTTTATTTATTTATTTGATAGAGAGAGCAAACAAACAGGGGGAGGGTCAAAGGGAAAAGCAGACTCCCCGCTGAGCAGAAAGCCCGATCAGGACCCGATCCCTGGATCCTGGGATGATGACCTGAGCAGAAGGCAGATGCTTAACTGACTGAGCCACCCGGATGCCCTCAAAATATGACATTTAAAGGGATGTTAATAAGCTGAATATAGCTGCTACTGATTCACATTCAGTTACAAAGGACTGTTACAAAGTCAGTACTTATTTCTGAATTGTAGTGGCTCGAAAGTCACAATTTCTAGACTAACTAGCTTGCTAATGCCTACTAACAAACCATCACCACATGGTCCTGGTCAGAGGTGAGCACATGATGTCATCTGAAATGTATTGTTTTCTTACAATGAGGATATGATTTAACACTTAGGAATAAGGTGACCAAATGACTTGGAGAACTCTTAGACTATTCTGTTCATTTTGAAAATCAGATTAATTTGTACCATTTTCCATCATAAAAACTAACCCAAGAAATAATATACAAGTCAAATTAAAGAATTTTGGAAAACAGCATTTTTATGACATACTCCTATTTAAAAAATAAAATTACAGCAACATGGTACAAGAGTAAGTGAGAAAATGAGAGTGTGAACTGAAGGTACATATGTTATAATATTAGTAGGTATCTCTAAGTGATGGGGCTCTGAGTAATTTTGTTTCTTTCTTTGCTTTGTATTTGCACTTGACCAAAATTTATCAGACTTAATATGTATTTCAGTATTATAGAAAAAAAGTTACAAAATAGATAAAAGGAAACTACATACAAAAGGCTTAGAAAATTCTATTTATTTATTTATGTAAACTCTACCCCCAAAACAGGGATTGAACCCATAACCCCAAGATCAAGAGTTGCATGTTCTACTGACTAAGTAGAACCAGGTGCCCCTAAGAGGCTTAGCAATTCTTTACTCACACTTAATTTTGCTCATAAAGAAGCAAAGAAATTACACTTATCACCTATTTCACAAAGTAAATACCAAGTAAAAAATAAATCTTTATTTGTAATAAAGCCCTTGCATCATCATTAAGAAAATTAATGTATCTTTTAGACATTACCGTTACCACACGTAGGGATGTGCCACCTGCTGATGAAATGGCACTCTGATGACAAGACAATCTAATTATGGTCACATGCAGAGCACAAACCCCAAAATGCCACAGAACATGTAACTTGGGAGAAATGACTCAGGAAAAGCAATTTTTTTAAAAGCCCCACAGCAATAAGTTGTGTGTCCAATAGGTGGTTACTGGTTTCCGGTGAAACATCCTACCTGTTTTTCATTAGCCTCAGCTCTCGTTTGCGTGTTGCTTCTTCGGCTAGTTGCTGGGGACTGTGCAAGCTTCCTGGCGAGGCAGCCATCACTACTCCCTGTGGCAAAGCAGTAGTAGGAGCTCGGATCTGGTAAGTCGGCATGTCACCAGTGGCGGCTGCAACGAAACAAAATATGACAAGTTTATATAAACAATTTACAACTTGATCTTTTATATAAAACTGACCTGGAAATAACATACTTCTTTCTATATGTCATAAGAAGTGAACTTGCTAATATTTAAGATGATTATTTTGAGCATTAAAGTCTTAGGTATCAAGGATCTTCAGCATTTGGAACAATAATATTCAGCATGCTCTATACAGTTAAGGTAGAAAAATGCCCCCACACATTTTAGAAAGGTTTTTACCAAAGGCTAAATTAGGGAGACTTTTCAACTGCTCTCTGGGGAAAAAAGCCCTGATGTGTTTATCAATTCACATGATATAAATACTTTCACGGTGGCCAATTTCAAGCTACCAGTGTGACCTCTTGGAAGGTGGAGATGAGAAGACATACACAGTAAGTAGGACACCATACAGATAAAAGAGATGTAAATAACCTCAAGAGCATAGATAAAATTATGAGAAGTGATGAGTTTTGAGTATTTATAGTTTTTAACATAATCTATTTGTTAAATATATTATGTATTTCTTTATATATATTTAATTTTTAACAATGGCTCTTTTTACACCAGCTCACAAAACCCCTGAAAATTTAATAATCACTCTTGCATACCGGTGGGAGCTGGCTCTAGCATACCACTGCAAAAATGTTAATTAAGCAGAACATCTCCATTCTCTGAATATTCCAGATAAGAGATTTTCCTGTCCCCTATACCGTGCCTGAGACAGTTACTGGATATCTGTAAATATAAGTCCTACTACCAGAAGATGACTGAGGCTCGCTGTCTTTTCAGTTTAAAAACCAAAACAAAATAAAGAACAAAACAGCAAAGCTCTATTTAAATCTAATTTCTCTGGGGGATGATCATTTTTGTCTTAAGTAGGTTTCTTGAGATAATGATACATTTCTAAGTATTCATTTAAAAAACTTTTCTAATTATAGTGCAATCATAGTTAAACGACAGACTTAATATTCACTTAGTATTCAAACTGAATACTAAAAGTCCTCCAAGTTTCCTAATTTATACTCAACATTTGCCTTTCTACTCTAATGAACATAGCTTCCTAGAAGAGACAGATGGATTTAAGTGATGAAATGTTTCTACCACCACTGTTTCAACTTTGAGAATGTATGGTCCAGAGTTAATCTGACACTCTAAGAGATTACAAAATTCATGCTGTCTCAAAGCTAACTACAAGATAAAGGTTTTAAAAAAGTTACCAAATCCTACAAAAATCGGTCTGAACCAATGCCAATCAAAATAGAAAACACATCACTTCCATATTTCATTAAAATGCATTATAACCATTGAGTAAGAACTGAAATTTTACCCAAAAGGGACACAAAGACTTTTTTTTTTTTTTAACAAATTAAAATACCTATGCAGTTTAAAAGATCAATCAAAAACTGATCTAGGTGCTCCTTTTTGGGTAAATGCCAGGGTTTTTTTTCCCCCTAGAGCTTAAGAATTAGGTGAAAATATTTTTTAGACTTTCAAAAAAGAGCTTTGGGGGAAGATCACTTAAAGGTCTTCATAACATTAACAAAAATACCACTTATAAGGATGCACTTCTCCTTCCTTCTACATATAATCTTAAAAACAATGGTGACAAATAGTAACTGATAAGTACAAAGATCACCAGCAAAATCTCTATCAATAATAAAATTGGGGAAAATCCTAAATTTTTGTGACTATTTAAAATTCCGTATACACAGTTATCTCATTGTATATCATAGAGTATCTCAGCTTTGAAATATTTAAGAAGATAATTTTAAAAACAGTTTTAACTGTTAACTGACTCAAGATTTTTCTATTTTAATCATATTGTCAGGGGAGGTAGACTGGAACACAGAATAACATAGTTCTCTCCTCTCTCCTCTTTACCCACATCCAGGGAAGAAGGTTATGGGACAATAAAGGTTGACACAATGGAACAGCTAGAGGCTACACAGGCTTTCTAAAACTGGAACAATAGCCAGTGACGAATGAGAAGTTTATGAGATGTTTATGTGTCATTGTGTTGACATTCGCAGGGGGCATGGGTACAGACCTTGGTCTAGGGCTTTTCTTTTGCAAACTCTGGTTACAGAGAAGTGCAATAAAATTAATAGAGGGGTTCATTATACTTTCTCTCTCCCTCTCCTTTTGTATGCATCTGCTATTTTCTGTCTATAAAGTTAGAGCAGAATTCTCATATGATATGTAAAAGTTAGTTTAAGAGTATTCATTCTTTTTTTAAAGAGGAAAAAAAGGGGGGTGGGTATACTTCATAGATGAAAACTGAAGTTCATTCATTGGTCTTACAAGCAGAAATGGTTCTAAACTTTTGCCTGTTTCCAAAAGCTGAAACCACCTTCAAAGGACCAAATTTGGCAATTCAATAGAAGCAATTCAAAAGAAGTATTCTTAAAACATTCTGAGTAACAGCTCAGGAAAAAGATATCACTTTAAAATGATAACTTGGAAGGGGATGATATATTTAGATATATTAGTTCTGGGACATTAGCTAATAAATAGGGTTTTATTGCAATGTTTCAGATATACTACATATTTATCTCCAACAAAAATCAGGTTGCAGGTCATTAGTTCAAGACAGAAATATGAATTGGCATTAATTAGTAGGAGTTAATACACATTTTTGTAATATCCTAAGGAATCTATATGATGGTACACTTTAAGTGGTCACAGAGTAAATGTCAATGGATAAATTCCATATACTCAAATAGGATCTTATCAGTAAATACACTAAAAAGATATGGGCAAAGAGAATCTCTTGTTTTGAGAAAATCCAAATGTCAAAAAGTTTTGTTGCTGAAAGAAGTGATAAAAAAAATTTGTATCTTGGTTAGCTTCAGTTTCTAATGTTACCAATTCAGTGGCAATTAAAAGCAGATTCAATACCTAGAATCACAGTTCAAAGAACCACCTTACAGTCTTTGATGACCTATTCTTATCTCTGTACATCTATAAAGGCCAGTTCCTATTCTAACTACTAAATATGTGTCCACGTTATTTATTCTAGAATTTCACTGTATACATTATTTCTGAAAATAAATGAGTCACCAGTGGGGCTATCATTTTGTGACTGAAGAAAGATAATACATAAAAGATACTTCTATACTAATTTTATTCTAAGGCAGCAAAAACTTTAAAGACAAGCCAGGGGTGTCTTTTTTAGCTGGTATTCCCTATAACCTAGCACAGTGTCTGGCATATCATGGGTGCTCAGTGGGTTTACACGCACACCACAAAGGAAATTTTGAACTTCCCAGGGTTTTGTCATTTGAATGTTTAAAATAAGCAGTATTATTATTGTAAGACTATTGTTAGCTATTGTTATAGCTAAGTCTTTAAGTCTTTAATACTAAGGCATGAGAAGCCCTTATAAGATGCTATGTATTTATTCAAACTGGCATTATTTCCTAATCTTCCTTTACATAGGAGTCATTTCACCTGGCATTTGAGAAGCAGGCGAGTTCTAATTAGTGTTTCCCACTATCTACCTACTGACAGGAAAATTTTTTTCAGTTTAGCATCAAATATTTCATGGAAAAAGAAAATTCCTAGAACTCTCAATTCTGGTCATTAGGCTTCATACCTCTCTTCGCAAGCTTTAAACACGGTACAGTAGAAAAAGCATGGGATCTGGAGTCTGGATTCTAGTCCAGCTCTGCCACTTACCAGCCATGTGACTTGGGGCAAGTTCAGTTTCCTCATCTGTAAAATGGGGATACATTATCTCATTTAATACTCACAATAAACCCTGTAATGTATGTCAAAGTGTCTAGCACAGTGCCTGGCACATGGTAGGCATTCAGCAAATGTTAGTTCCCTTCCTCTTCCCTTCCTTAAGTTCTGAAAGACAATGTTCCAAATTATGCTTATACTGTATATTAGTTAAAAGGCATATAACATCCATAAAAATATTTTCCCCTGGAGTTTCCCTTCTAACAAACCTGGGTAAGAGAATGATTGAAACGTATGTCTCTTATTCCTTATTTTTTAAAAAAAAATATGCCTATTAAAAATGTATAAAATTTATACAATATTTTATTATATTCCTTTAGAGAATAAATTATTAGAAGATAATAAAAGTCCTTTTCAATGTTTATAATCATTTAGAATAGAACCTCAAAGGTGGAGAATCACAAGTAACCATATTATAGTCTCATCAGACTGCTAATAAGAAAACTAACTGAAAAGCCTCACAAGTCAAAGAGGTATTTGTTTCTTCCTAACAAAGAAAGAAATAAGAAACTCAGCCAAATGCCTATCTTGATAGTTTTCAAAGTGGAACAACTTATCCACATCTCAAATAATGGTGATTTTGTTTGTTTATTCATCTACTGATTGATATCCCTGTAGTACTGAGCACATTAACTGAATAAAAACATTTTTATAAATGGAGCTCCTACCTTCATATGTCATTTTGCTATGTGTCCCTTGTCCCAAATCTACCTAAGTAACAAGCAACAGAGCTAACTTTGAAGTTGTACTGATAAGCAGGGACTTCTTTTCCCTAGCTCCAAGAAGCTATGGACATCTTTACTTTTCTTTTTTCCTTCTCTCCCTCCCATCCACCGCGCCAGGGCACACAATGCCTAAATCAGCCTTGTCCTTGCCTGGTGTCTCACAGTGTCAAAACCTTTCCCTTCTCCACTGCTCTATTTTTTCCAGGAAAACTAAATCCTGATTAACTGACTATTTAAGCACAGTTTCAAATTTGTTACAATAATTATAATACTCAGACCACAAAGAATTAAATCATTAACTATTTTTACTTTAAGTTACATATAAGGGAACTTCCTGAGTTGTTTAGTGAAAATCTTAAGAGTCAAAAAAAAAAAAAATCTATGTAAAAGATAATAAATTATAAGTATTGACATGAAAAGTTCTGTATATTATCAAATATATACTCTATTGCCCTGTGAGAGTAATAATATTCTAGGAAAAAAATCCATTTTTACTATTTAAAATGATGCTAGCTTTATTTTGTATGTTTTCTGAGTAGTGTGTAGTATGCTGTGGTAACTCACCTAAAATTAGCATGAATTTATCAGGTGAATTTTGAGGAGCAATGTAATATGGTGTGAACAGAACCAGACAAGGTCTGGTCTTAAAGTCTGAAGGTCCAAACTGGTTCACCACTTGTTAGCTTTGTGAGCTTGGAAGAGTTATTTACCACTCTGATACATGTTATTATATGAAAATATAATATCTGCTCTGAGCACATCAGTAAAAATACATGGAAACTGCTTCTCCTCATGGGTATTTAAATAGTTTCCTCAGGAAGGCCTACCCAGATCCTTTAACCTATATTACCTGTTTCCTGTAGGTCTCTCACCACCTGATTGTTTGATAGCACTGAACACATTTGTATTTGTATTTATATTGTAACACTGCAATTTTTTAAAAGCTTACATAAATTCAAAGTATCATAATTATTTTATTAGGCAATATATTCATATAGGCAAATAAAACTGGGCAGAGTGAAATAATCATCCCAAAAAATATTTCATCGAAATTTTTTCAAAAATATTGGGAATGTAGAACAATGGAAATTTCAGTAAAACTTCCATACAGATTCGGAGTTTTATTAAAACTTAAGGTAGATAAATGACTTTTTTCACTTCTACCATAATTATAACTTGCTTTGCTGGCAAGTTTAAGAAACTGTTTATACTTGATCCAAACCTTTCTTTTATGTGACAATTCCCCAAAAATAAGCTTTTCAAATGCCCTTCTTTCACAAGGTGAAATGTATTCTTATTCTCATGCATCAAATATTAACTAAGACACTATTTTCCAAATTTGAATGAGCTGGAATATTTATTTTTAATAATTCAGAAATTCAGGCTAAATACAATATATTAGAGTTTATAAGACTCAGAGACTAAAAGATACGGAGTGAGGCTCTTAATATAATCAGCTTATGAATAAAGAAAGCCAAAAACTACTTCTAACAAAAATTTAAACTATACCCACAAGTCTCAATAATACAATTTTATAAACTATAGCTATTCACTTTCCACATTTTATTCCATGATCCTATAAATAAATACCTAAAACTTTTCCCATACCAGTCATTGTTAGCCTGATTTTGGTCTAGGCAAGTTTTTCAAACTGTAAGTTTTAGACCATTAGTGGGTCATAAAATCAATCTCATTAGCAACAGAAAAAAATAGAAAAGCACATTATATCTCTACTATATTTAAAGATAAGCACTTCTAAAAAAGCAAACAAAGCAACCAAAAACACTGCAGGGCTTAAACTCATGACCCTTAGATCAAGACCTGAGCTGTGATCGAGTCAGAATTAACCGACTGAGCTACCCAGGCACCCGAAGATAAGCATTAGAGACAAACCAGAAGAGACTCCTAATCATAGGAAACAAAATGAGGGTTGCTGAAGGGGAGGGGAGTGAGGGGAAGAGGTAGCAGGGTGCTGGACATTAAGGAGGGTATGTGATGTAATGAGCACTGAGTATTACGTAAGACTGATGAATCAAGGACCTCTCCCTCTGAAACCAATAATAAGATATTTTATATGTTAATTTAAATAAAAATTAGAAAACTTGTTTTATGTACACACACACACACACACACACACAGAGGTATACAACATCATGACGTAAAACGTGGGTCATGATAAAAAATATGTGTAAGCCAAAGATCTACATCAGCCCATGTGGTTCACCAATCCATACAGTAGGTCCTCTACTATTACTTAAAAAAAAGTCTCTTAAACACTGTGCTCTTCCAGCTCCTCAAAACAAACAAAAGTTTTTCATTTTTAAACAGCATTTCAAAATAGAATTGGTTATTTCTGAAAACTGATCAGATTTCTAAAAATAATGATTTCCAAAACACAATGAGGTCTTGTGAAAAAAGTTTGATATTTTAAAATTTTAGCATTTCAAAAACTTTAAATTGGAAGTAACTCATGTATGGGTAAAACTGTGAAACAAAGCTCTTCAAGGACAGTGTATGTTCATTCCATACACATAAATGTATAAGAATGTTCACTTACAAGCAATGACTAAAAATATATACAAAGTTTTACTTTAAACTTTCATCTTTAAATATATTGTGAATTTTCAAATCTTTTATTTTTTTTATTTTTAATTTTCTCTCATGGTTAGACCTAAGAATTGGAATTAAAGTCTTAGTAAAGAAAGATATAAGCCAACTAATGATTTTTAGCAAACAAATATATGCACAAAATGCCTTTTGCTTCTAGAATCATATTGCAGTATTTAAGATTATTTTAAGGCCATCTGTAAACTTGTCATTTGAGAAAAATAATAGTGCATCAAGATAATTTTCAAAACGCTTTAATACAGGTTTTAGTTGCTCAGATCAGTGGAGTGTTTCCATCTAGGAAGAGGGTTTAGACCCACTGACTCTGAAAAGCTAAACTGTGGTGAAGCTGTTGACAATCATCTTCGTGATTTCAACTGCAAATTCAGAACTTGGTTAGAAATGAGACACCACCGAAAAAAACAACAATGCAACCCTAATACAGAACATTAGCAACTAGGTCAGGATCATTCTGTCATTAAGAAAACCAAACAACAGGATTACTGATCACAAATTTCAAGAACTGAGACTGGGTGGTGGAGGGGGTGGAGTGGGGTGGGACAACTTTCAGACAAGCACTTCCCAGACTGAGCGCTAGAGGGCACTCCCAGGCGCCAGTGGCCGAGAGCGAGCAAGGGTGCGGAAACCCTCCAGCTCCAGAGCCCACCTCTCCCCCAGCACGTGCGCGGCGGCCTCAGCAGGAGGCTCAACCTGCCCACGTAGGCGGAGGCGGGACGGACGGCCTCGGAGTTCTGCTCACCCAAGCATTACAGGTTTCACAAAGCGTTCCCCCTCGTCAAGCAGATACTTACCTCAAGAGAAACGCTAAAGTAAGGATTACGAGCAAAGCTATTCAGTGTTAAGAGCGATCTTGGAGATAGAGGCAGTGGCGAGCTAGTTAACAACTCTAAATCTGTCAGCAGCCCTTGACAAAGCAGAAAGGAACTGACTAAATCACAGCATGACTCGGAGCTGACGTCAATGTGCAGCTCGCTTGGAGTTTAACTTTTCCACTTCCCTGCTGAACACGATTCCAGGAAATGTAGTGACGTCAGCCCTTTGAACTCGATTAGCTGAGGTACAGACCATTTTAAACACAGGAGGAAAGAAACAAGTAGGCACGCAAACACAGCCGACACGCTGCGTTTTCCTAGTCTGTTTTGGAGCAACATTTGTACACAACAACGAAATCGGAAGCTTAATTTTTTACAAGTTGAACGGTATGTTTAACGGTATGTTTAACTTGTAGCTGCACTGAATTTGCAACAGGTTGCAACGAAGTAACAGCTTACTTTAGTAAAGCACAACGGAGAAAGAAAGGATTACTGCCTTGGTCAAAAAAGCAATCCGCTGAGCAAAAAGCATTTACACTAAGATGCCTTCACAGAGTGTGCTCAGTACATACAGATATATATTAAAAGAAATTTCTTACTCCTCAGCCACTGGAAAATTAATACTTTTTGAAACACTCAGAGGTCCCTAAATTTTTCTAAACTTCAAAATAAAATTTTCAGAATTAATTTAAATCTCTCTTTAAAATTCTTACCTGTTTCATCTCCAGTTACAGCCATGATGGGCTTCTGCATACAGAACTGTCTTGTCTCCCCTATCACAGGTTGACATACAGTGTTCCAAACT